CATGATGGATATGTGAGATTGTTAGATAAGCCTTGAATCTTAGTGCTGGGAAAATTAAATACAGTATTTGTATTATTGAAAGTTATGTTTTATCGAAGGTAATATGATCTATTACTGTCAGGTATATATATAGATTTCGAGTATAATGAAACATACAGTATTCTTAGATCACTATCTCTAGAACTAAATCTGAATCTAGGTGATCTATTAGTACAAGATGTAAATTTTAAACTTTAAATTAACTGAAACCGTCATAATGACGTGACTAGAGTTAAATGTACATAAATAATAAATTAGATTAAAACTAATGTATGTGCCTGAGGTGCACTAATATGAGTTGGTGTACCTTGCATTCATCCAAAACGTTTCTTAAACTTCGAAAAACAAAAATTATGAATGGTAAATGAGAAAGATGCCTTAGGTGTGTACAGCATATCATTGTCTCCTGAAAATACAATACATACATTTGTATGTACTGATGCTGAGCTAATATATGTATTGTACTTGTACATGTGCATTCTGATACCCGGCCAGTGTATATACTACACTTTTGTATACTGATACTGCACCACAGTTGGGGCTGCGCTTGTAGATTGACACTATAGATGATGCATTTGTGTATATTAACACGGCACCACTGGTGAAGGTACAACATAATTGCATCTTGGAGGCATATTAAATGGAAAAAATAAACAATTTTTTATTGGCGCTTTATTGCACGTGGTTTACAAAGGCGGCCATGACAGTCACAGGACCTGCCGGCCTCTCTTACGACTAGACAACGGGAGTGGGGAAAGGGGAGTGGGCGAGATTTGGGGAGAAGGGAGCTCAAGAGATATTTTCAGTGACTTGCCCACAAGTTTTGGGAAGGTTATCAATAGGATAATGTGTAGGGAAAGAAAAAAACTGACATGAAATATGGGAGCTCTGAATTCATCAACCTCCAAAAATGGTAGAACCAGTAGCTACTACGGGTGGAGGTGTACAAAATATAGACTCTTGTACTGAAAAAAAATCACGTTTTGTACACTTGGAATACTATAAAGGGCATACCAAAAAGTGGAACAGTAACAATAAACCTAACCTAACCTATCCTAGGCCTAAATAAGCAATCCTAGGCCTAATATACGCCATCTTAGCCTAATTCAGTACATATATATGTACTATATTAGGCCTAGGAATGTTTAGGTTTGGTTGCTGCCTTCATTCTCGGACCCCCCTTCATAATGAATAATACAAAACGAGGACCTTTTTTTGTGTGCAACAATACATATTTTGTTTTTACATCCAAAGTAACAATAGGTACTATCATGTGTGGATGACAGGTTGCTTCTCATTTGGGTGACATTCCCGTCAGTAACTGGAAGGCGATTGAGCGAAGGAGGTTTAGGCGAAGTGTAGCAGAAATCTAAATAATGGTATGGGGTAGAGGAGGGCTAGGTGATGGGTATGTGGTAGAATAAGGTTATGTGGTAGAGGAGGGCTAGGTGAAGGGTATGTGGTAGTGTAGGGTATGTACTTAAAGGGCTGGCGATGGATATGGGGGTAGTGGAGGGTTGTTGTTGTTTTAGATTTAGTTACTCAGAACGAAGTGTCTATGTAGCACGGGCTATGGTGAGCCCGTAAAAGGTAGAGAAGGGTTAGGTGAAGGATATGTAGTAGAGGAGGGTTAGGTGGAGAGGAAATGGGACTACAAGCGAGGAGAGGTGAGAGAAGCTTTGTGACGTGTTTACTAGACGCTAAGCCTAGTGCTTTTTTGTTTCTCTGACGGTTGGTCAACTGGCAACGATGTTGGCGCACATGATGTGGTCATCACACAGACGTTACTTATTAATGTCTTAAGAACAAACAATCATCCTCTGTGTGTCGTTTTCGTGTAGTTAGTGTAATTTTTTGTTATTCTTAACATTGATTTAAAATTAATTCTTCAAATCAAAAATGTACTATTGTTGAGCAGTAAATTAACAATTAAACTGAACGTGCAGTAGCAGAGGCTATTGTTGTTGTTTCTGTGGACGATATCTACAAACTATTTTATCCATTTCGAAAAAGAGTCGAAGCTCAATGCAAAATATGAATAATTACAACTGTTGTGCACATTAAGTCGTATTTGAAAACAAATTAGCTTGTGACACCTTCATTGTACAGAAAAGCACTCTGTTGAGGTTAAATGGCTATTTAATATATTTACTGGAACCCTGTGTGAACCTATTTATGACTTTAGTCATCATATGATGTACTGCAATGTGTACAAAGCACCTCCGTGTGAGTTTGTTATTAGCCTAGCCAGTTAAAAGTAGGGTTTAACACATGAAATTTTGCTTCAGCCACTTATTTAATTAAAAGTTTTAACATTTGAGTACGTGAGCTTCATTTGGCCACAGAAAATATAATGTTAACGTGTTAGTTTTATTACAAGTAATTGCTATAGTTTTTCCTTTTTTATTCAATTTGATCCCTTTACTAGGAGATTTTTAGCCCGCGTCCTTCATTTCAGCCAGCGAGACCACTAGCATATGGATAGTTCCGTCACATTATCCACCTGTTCCTCAAGTTAGGAAGGGAGAGGTATAAAAATTGCATGGGGGGGGAGAGACGGGAATGAGTAAAGGTGAAAACAGTTAATAAGCTTGATGTGAATGAATAAAGGAGAAGAACCAATAAACATAGTGATGGTCACACTACCAGAGAAAGTAAAACGGGAATATGTAACTCAGCTGAATGGGTCATTTTCATTTTCCTGGGCGAGAAGGAAAATTTGAAAGTGGCCCTTGTTTTATGTGGTGGAAAGGGAAAATGTGTTTGCCTAGCCAGCTGAGAATGACCATTATTTCTGGAGTGAGGACGGGAGAGGAGGGTAGAGAATGTTTTCCTTGGCTAGGGGCAGGATGAAGAGTGCTTGTTCAGGGTGATTCTCCCCTCAAGAGGGGTATTTACAGCATATTTTCTGGGGTCTGTTATTGTTGGTTGTTGACGGTAACGGTAACCTTACTACTGTAGTCTGGTGGAAGGGGATGCTTTGTCCGGTATTGCTTTTGTTAGCTTATAAAATACTAGACATTGGCCAAGAAGCCACACGGGAGAGCTGACAGTAACAATGAGAACAAAAAGTTTGAACCAAGATTGAAAGCATCCGCTTCGTTCAGTCATCATAAACACTGACTAAGATCTATGTTACGTAGTACATATACACCGATAGTCGCACACACGCACTTTGAAGTATTTGAGATATTTATAAGAGTATTCTCATATTAAGACTAGGCCTATCATAAATTAAATTTATTTTGCAAAAACACCGTTGCAAAACTCGTATTCACGGTAAGAAACACTTGGAGGAACTTGAAGATCTGCTCTTGTCAGAAAATGGCCTTCGGGTAGAAGGAAGGAGAGGGAGGGAGGGGACTGGGGTGGCGTAGCGAGATACAAAATATGGCAAATATCATAAATCTTGATTTTCGACAATGCATTGTTCTTGTACAAAGAGATTATTGTATTATTGCGGGCCAAAGCTTGAAATCACACATGCCCGAAAACATTCGTACCAGAACAGGGCAATATCGAGTCTATTACAAAATAATAATAAATTAAAAGATTTTCAATTTCCAAACCGTGATGCCACTTTGAAGAATGTGCCAGCAGAGGCGCGGTCAAGTGACCACGCGAGGAGTTAGTTATCAGTGCCATCGCCTTGGCATTCTGAGAAAGACTTTCAACTATGATAGTGCCCTGGTCACTTGCAAGAATAAACAATACGCGTACCTTATACAGAACTGGGTACGAAACTGTAATATTTGTAAATAGCGATTCAGTAGGTTATGAACGAACAAATGGGTGTGATGGTCGTTCTCCTTAGGAATGGTGTTGCAATCTCAAAAGCTAGGCTTCATTTTGCTGGGCTGAAATATGCTGAACATCCAACGAGTTTTTTTCCGAAGAGAAAACGGATTGATATGTTCAAAGATCAAATCACATTTACTGAGAAAGACGAAAATACCACTCGTTACAATACCTGCATTATAAAAAATTGTCTCTGTATACTCTTGTAAGAATGATCTAATTGTCGGAAGCCTGTGTGAGTCCCTCAACAGGGCAACCAATTAACATAATCACAAGCGACTGAAACTTGTGCTCGATATTTTTTTGATTGTGTGCTACGCATTATCCATCTCAATACAAATTTAACATGGCTAGGATAAAAATATTAACAAACATAAATACATGCTGAAACCATAGCAGCCTACTCGAAATCCAAAGTGCTTTTGTTCAAATAATATAACAATCCATTTCAATCTTTCCATTTAGGGTGAATTTAGGTTCACAAAAAAGAGTAATCCGAGACGGAGAGGAGGTTTGTGGGTGTGTGAGCAGCAAGTGATGGCTAGGGGGCGTCGTGCAGGAGCTGCTCCCCTTCAGGGTCAGAGACGGGGTCCTGGTCGTGGCTCGAGTCCTGTTGGTGCAGGTGGTCGTGAGAGGCAAACTCGTGGAGAGGGCGGCTGCTGGACTCGTAACCAGCCAAGGAAGCGTGATTAAAGTCGCTCTCCATCTGACCATACGCCTCTGATACTGGCGTGTAGGAGAGGCCAGCGTGGGAGTGTGGCGGCAAGAGTGGTGGCGGGTATATAACGGAGGTTTTAGGTTCACCTTGGGCGGTGTCTTGACTCGATAAATTACACCCACCGCCCATTAAACTGCCGTACTCTTGAAGCTGTGATGGTGCAGGACTAGTCGGGAATTCTGAACCGGTTTCTCCGGGTCTTCGAATATTTGTAGTACTGCTGTTACTGCTACTTCCGCTATGGGCCTCATATTCAGAGGCAGTGTGGTCTCCCTCGAGAGAGTACGAGGGGTGGCCGTAAGCGGGGGCGGTCGCTGAAGTTACAGCCGAAGCTGAAGTGTGGTTGGAGGCGTGGCGCAACCCATGCTCAGTGTTGGCGGCAGTGGAAGGTCCCTGCAGCGCCTCGCCGGCCGAATACCCGTAGTAGTAGTGATAATAGCTGGAGTAGTAGGACGGGTAGGCGGCGGCGGCGGCGGCTGCAGCTGATGATGACTGGTGGGCGGGACTCCCAGCGGCCGCCAGGGACCGCAGATGGACGTCTAGGTTTGGTACTGAAGCATGGGCGCCGACAAGTTTGGGTGGTGCGTGGTGTTCATGGAGAGCGCTGTGAGGGACTTCTTGTACCAGTCCTCGTCGGCGGCCGTCTGCAGCCCCGAGAAGCAGGGCGAGGCCAGCCCCTTCTTGTACCAGTCGTCCTCCGTCGCCATACCTGCTGGGGTCAGAACACACACACGGGTCATAACACAACTACACTACTACCAGAATTAAGTCCTTATATATAAATAAGCATTTTTGAAATTATTCTAAGCGGTAACAATTATAACTTCACCATATCACAAGTCGCGCTTGTATCTAACTGTAGGACATAGTGAGGTGTACAAAGAAATCACATTAAGGTGATGTATCAATGAGTAAATCAGTAGGAGCCACATGGAAGCTTCGAACCTACGCTCTGTGTACCAAACACATGCCTTAGGCAACGACACTACGACATGGTCAAAAGCAACGTAACCTGGGATTCAGCTGAATCCTCTAGGGTTCCTGAGGTTTGTACTGTAGCCTAACCAGGGTTTCATACATTGCCCCCATACACTCTGACTTGTAATCTAAGAATTCTTCCACCTGCACTTCTATTCCAAAGCAGAAAGAAATGTTATTTGTTAATGTGATTTCTTTGTGAATTTGAAGAGAAGCGTATAGGAGGTAGGATTCCTGGAATACACGCCAGAATGTATAGGGGATATGTATGAAACTCGCTAGGCTTCAGTGTTAGCCTCAGGAACCCTAGCGGATTCAGTTGAATCCCAGGTTGCATTGCTTTTGACCATGTCGTAGTCTAAGTCGTGTGCTTAGGAGTACCCAGAGCATAGGTTCGAATCCTTCTCATGGCTCCTACTGATTTTCTCACAGTGAGATGAAATCTATACCAAAATTAAGGAATAATTTATTGTCACTTCGTTAATCGTTAAGAGTACTAACGATTTTTTTGTGTGAACTCTGGTTTGTTAAAACGATGTTATATGCTACTTGCTTGCAAGCCTAACTTAACGGTGCTGTCTTTGATCTAAACTAAAGTAAGGGAAGTTAACCTAATGTATCTGTGACTGGACGTGAGAATCACAGAAAAGATTGCTGCAAATGATTGACTACCTTATCTTCCATAAACATTTTTCTTCTATAGAACAAGGAGAATAATGAAAACAGGACACTGTAGACAAATAGTACAGTATAGGCAAATAGGCTACTAGGATTGATAACAATCAGAGTTAGCGATAAGACAGGTAATGGTATTCTTGAGCTTTATTTTGCCTTAATTAGGCCAAATGCATAATCCATTTGGATTATGAAATTCAGCTTTAGGCCAAATGCATAATCCATTTGGATTATGAAATTCAGCTTTAGGCCCAATACTATAGTATGAACATAAATTCGTCAGAAATATGCAGATAAAAATGACAATTAAAAATTAAAATCCGAAAATTAATCCCTGGGATTAGAAACCTCCATTGTGAAGAAAGCTTAAAGCTTAATTACATTCTATAGAAAGGCGAAGAACAAAACAGGACATGAATAAATGAAGGGAAGCATATTACAAGGCTAATATTAAATATATAAAAGCAAAATAGAACACGAAACAGTTGATAAAATTTGGTTAATTATCGATTAAAAAAGACCTGGGTAAATTATGGTTTGAAAATAAGGTTGTTGACTTATGGAACAGATTACCAGGTAACATAATAGACTTGGGATCATTTCATTGTTTTAACCGTAGGATAGACATAAATATGAATGAGTTTGGGTGGATATAAATAGGAGCTGCTTCGTATGGGTCAATACGTCTTATGATGCCTCCTTTATTCTCATGTTTTTATTAATTAATCTGTGTATGAGCTGATGTTTGGGCCGTGGCAGCAGGAATGCGTGTGTTCGTTCATTGTGGTAGTGAAGGCGTTCATGCGCACGCAGCATCAGCCAGACCTGAGAACCACAAGACTTTGCATAACTATACTCATATTCTCTTCATGCCCACTATGCTTATACCTATTATACTTATACCCTCTCTCCTCATACCCGCTATACTCATAACCACAATGCTCACTCATACCCTCTCTCCTCATGCCCACTATGCTCACTCATAACCTCTCTCTTCTTGCCCACTATGTTTATACTCCTTATACTCATACTCACAATGCTCATACCCATTCCCACTATACTCATTCTTCTCATCAATTGTTATTGGACACTCGTTAAAAATCCAGAATACCACTTTAGCTACAGGCACGCCAAACGTTTCCTCTGAATATTATCTTTAAATGCAATGCTTCACACCTGACTGGACATGAATGCTATCATTCGCATTTGACTGAACCCTAATTGCGGTCATTCGCACCTGATTGAACCTGCATTGTCATCCTTCGCACCTGATTGAACCTGAAATCATTCACGTGCGAATGTTTTGTTGCATATAAATATTTGATTATAATTTACTTCTACGGTTGAATAAGGAGATTTGAGAAGTTGATTGGGTATCATTTCTTAAGTGATTATTACGGGGTATATTCAAATTGTCCACAGGCGTTTCTTCGAAGCTTGTTTTCTGAATATCAAAACCGTTACATATATTTATATATATAGCGATAGGTTAGGTTGGGTATAGCTAGGGTCGTTTAGATTAGGTTAGGCTAGGTTAAGTTAAATTAGGTAGGTTTTGGTTAGACTATGTTAGGTAGGTTTGAGTTAGGTTAGGGTTGATTGGGGTTAGGTTAGATAGATTGGGGTTAGGTAAGGTTGGTTAAGGATAGGTAGATATGAAAAATCTTGTGGCTCCTATCAGTTATATGACCATGTGGTGTCAGCAGGATAATTGGCCTGCCCGAGTTGGGTAGTTAACGGGTCCATTGTTAAGTGGTTAATTCTGTGAGTTTTGTGGGCAGTGCTGGAGTAATTGTGTCATTAGTCTCAGTATAATTAATCTGATTATTTTTTTGCTTTAAATATTATACCTTCTTATATTTATTAACGAATAAGGTTGTAAATCATTATTATTGTTAATTGCTCATTATTATTATTATTATTATTGTTAATTATATTATTGTTAATTACATTATTGTTATTATTATTAATATCGTTGTTTACTATTATATTAATTTTGTTTGTATTTCTAATTTTTATTATAATCGTTGAGTTAATTAATATTTGAATTGATAATTATTATTTGTATTAATTATTATTATTGATTATTTGTGGTATTGATAATTACCAGTAACATTTATTATTATCAATAGTAACACTAATTTTTATTATTGTAATTATTTTTATCACTGGTAATTATTTTTTATTAATCTTGTTAATTACTTTTGGTATTGTTCATTTTTATTATTACGTTAATTATATTTTTATTAATGTTTTTTTATTAGTATTATCAATTTTATTATTGCCAATTTTTATATTGATAGTTATTATTTTAAGTATTGTCAGTTGTCATTTTTTTATTGTTTTTATTATTGTTACATTTTATTGGTATTTGATTATAATTTTTATTAATATTTTAAATATTATTATTATTATTGTTAATTATTATGATTTCAATTCTTATTATTAAATGTAACCAGTTGTTACTCTCGCGCGTAACACAAGAGCTGTTCTTGGGAACAAACTTCCAAATAATGATTTACTTTAACTCATATTTTCTGCAAAAATTTTCTTCTTTAATTTTTTCTTTGTTACATGATCGCTTCATAACTTATCATCAAAATATGATCGCCTACGGCTTTTCCGTTTAGCTTTTTTTGCACAAAAGTCTGAAAAAACGAGAATTTTAGCGGTCACCGGAGAAATTTATTAATTAATTTATTTATATACAAGAAGATAGATTGGATTTATGAGGGTATATAGTATTGATGTTTTTACATTTTTGTAAAGCCACTAACACGCGTAGCATTTCGGGCAGAAACGAAATCTCGAGCGAAATCCATATCGATCGATGGGTGTTGTCCCGTCACCCATTTCTGTTACATTTCTCTCAGCTGGATTATTGTCCTGGATATAGTGTAGCAGGAAGCTAATGTCAGTATCATTGGTCATGGAGAGTTGCAGCAGCACAGTGAAGGAGGATAGACTTTGCAACCACACCCGTCGGCTAGCTGGACCAGCCTGGAGGCGGAGTCCCACGCCATCCCGGTGATAGGAAAGCGGGCGGGGCTTAGGTGGTTGTCATGGCAACACGGCGGGGGGCGGAGCCTGGTTTGACAGGTTACTGTGGGAGGGGAGCCTAGGGATGGGGGTCAGATTGGGGAGGGGGATTGGGTCAGATTGGGGTGGGAGGGGGGGGGGGGGTTGATGGGAGTGACCGTTGAGCGGTTATTTGTTTCCTCGTGGACTTGATTTGACCTTTTCTCTTTCCAGCTCCTGTTGTGTGTGTGTTTGTTCTCGAAAAATAGCTGGTGGAAAAGAATGGGAATTTAAATTTTCCCTGTTGTTTGTCATATGTTTGAGTAATCAATAGTGGTCCAGCATTCAGTTTGCCACAACACAAACTTGGAAATAATATAGTCGGTGGTAGTGGGGTTCGCCAACACAATCAGCAAAGCAATAAACATCCTGGATACCACAAACAATACTCATATTGAATTGTGCGAGTTTATGGACAATGACTTCGAGAATGTTCCGTAGTTTGATAGATTTATATTTGCAAGACAAAGCTCTCTCTTAAAGCATTATATGCCTCTGTACGTTTATTAAGATAGATGTATAAGGTTCAGCACCATTGGGTCTGGCCAGTAACTGGATAGGTGATCACGCTGACAGACTCGCCATTGGCTAGGGAGACCAATATGTGTGCGTGTGTGTGCGTGTACTCACCTAGTTGTGCTTGCGGAGGTTGAGTTTTAGCTCTTTGGTCCCGCCTCTCAACTGTCAATCAACTGTGTGTGTGTGTATTTGCATTACATTCAGTTGAACCATTAAGGATTCGAACTCGAACCTGAAAAATATGGGACCATCGATCATCATCAATGCAGCAAGCTGGCCCGAGTTCAATTCCCCGATGATCCAAGTGATTGAAATGTTATTGCCTCCGCTGTTGTTGATACTGTCATAGACGTCACGAAGGGGTCGTTTGCCATCTGATGGCGTCGTGGTACTAGAAGCAAGTAGTTATTTCTGAGACTTTTATTGTGAGCATCTTGCCCTGTATGTTAGAATGAGGACCTC